TTGTATATGAATTTATTTAGTCATCCCATTATCGACTTATACCCTAATTAGGGTTTACACATAATCCCAGCCCACATACTCAAAATTACCACATTATCCGTTTGTTTGAGCCCTATTCTCACCCCATTTTTAACAGTAGTGCAATCTGTGGGGCCCATTTGTGTGCAATTAATGCGTCCTGACAAATAATGCCTACAAGTTTCAGGTGAGCATTTATTTTCAATTGACCTAAATGGCAGATTTCCATTACTACCTTTCAAGAGGAGTGAAAATGTGGTGATGGGCACGCGGTTCTCGAAAATTAACACATACATGCACTTGCATGACTTTAACGTTTGACAAGTCAAACTAAACAGAACACGACAAATTTTTGTAAAAGGAAAAATACACTGACTGCCGACATACGTAGGAAATTAACGGGTTATGGACGAAAACATACACTACTCGACAACATAAGTAGAAAATAAACGGTTACGAACGACGATTATCGACACTCTGAATTGAGAACATAACACAACACAAGTCACACATATAACAACAGGACGGGAAACAAAAGAACAATGTTGCCCCCGTGTTCGACTACTAACGTAATGCTTGTGCCAATTTGTTGTCACAACATGTCCTCCTCGCCTATGGCATCCATCTCGGCTACAATTTCATCATATTCATCGGGAAGGTTGATCTCAACCTCATCGTCATCCACTTCTTCGGGTCTTCGAAAACCCTCATCTAGTTGACCGTTTCTCCGAAGAAAGTTATGAATTCCCATTGAGGCCACGATGAATTCCCATTGAGGCCACGACCACAGCAGTTTGAGCTCTCATACTGTAAGCTGGCATCCGATCTAGAATCTTCCACCGTTGTTTCCAAACATCGAATGACCGCTCAATAACGTTTCGACATGAGGAGTGGTGGAAATTGAACCGCTCCCGTGCATTGCGAAAATGACGACGTTGTCCGCTTGCGGAGTTCCCGAACGCTTGAAAATGATATCGAATGTCTGAGCCCTTATATGGTGCCATATAACCAGGCCGTGCACGAACCCCGAGTCAACGAGGTAATATTTCTCGTTCGCAGGTTGTGAAAAATTTACTTTCGGACTATATACGGCTTTGGCCAATATGCGATTGTCGTGCATGTTCCCCGTTGTTCCTGGGAGGACAAATGTAAAACAGAGGTTGAAATTGCATGCCACCAGGATGTTCTGTGTCGGAATACTCTTTTTCCCAATGAAATGTTCTCATTGTTGCCTCAGCAACACTGCTCTAACATGCGTACCATAACGCTCCGGGTTCGGCCTATGGTGGGTCGCACCTTCATTATACGATGGATCGGGTTCTATCATGGTAGCAGCGAAAGCTAAGACGCTCACAGCACTGTCTTAAAATAGTGCGCTATGGTTTGCAACGAGTGATCGAACAGAGTTTGCACTTGTCTGTATCCTTTACCGTGTGCAAGTATGCACAAGAACATTCCTACCTGTTCATATACGTCGATATTTGTACTGCTGGATACACCGTACTGGTCACGTAGAATGTGCGTAAAGTGCATAAACATGGACGGATACATCCTAAATTCTTGAAAGCATGTTTGGGGGTACACATGCATATTCTGTAGCATGAAAATGTGGCCGCATCGCGTTGTTGGGAATAGATATCGACGCACTCTATTTGGTGCCAAGTACTTGTGAACCACACGCTTCGCAACTCGACAATAATTGAGCCACACTGTAATATCCTCCTCCAGCTGTTGCATCACGTCTTCTTCAGAATTCCACTTGTCGTCGGACAATGACTTAATGTCACAATTTGTTTCCAAACTGGAGAAGACCACTGAGTCGTCCGACATCTCTTCAGCCAATGCCAATGTTAATTAACTAGTAGTATATGGATGTGGAATAGCAGTAGCAAGCGGTAATGTCTACAACCTATTGGAGACGTGGGAGGTGTTTGTATATTGCAAGCAGATTGGAGCCTCTTAACAATTGTAAGTGCATTCGATACTTATAGAAGGCTCAACGTGCGTGGGATAGCATTCCTGAAATTAAGGTGTTCAATTTTTCAAATCTATGTTCATTACTAACAGGAGAATATTAGTGTAGGTTGCAGGGAATATATTCCCTGCCAACTTTAAAGTTGTCTAGCCATTTGTGACACGTGCAAAATATAATATATAATATTACAATATGGTACATATAAAATTAAAAGTACAAATCACACCAATGTAGCAGGGTCACATGCGAAACAGAAAATTTTCATTGTCTTCACTAGTTACAGCTCAATACAACCCGAAAAATGCCAAAAAAAATGTGCAAGAAATAAAAAACGTGCATAGAAAACTGCAATACAACATAAGCCAAACCCAAGCAATCATGTCTTTCGTTCACGCAACATATTGTCCCGCTCGAAGCAATACTCCACAAACTTGAAGCGCAGAAACGGTGTCTTCACTGCGCAGTACGAATTTCGATTATCTTTGTCGCGGAAGAACCACAACGTGAATAGGTGGAGCACATCGCCCTCCTTCACATAACCTGATGAGAGCAATTCGTCCACACACTCCACGACCGAGATACCTCCATTACGATGTGATCTCGCAATAGAGGCCAAATCTATTCCTACGCTCACCATCTGCTCAAGTGATGCCGACACGTCTCGGGCACTATACCGTTTCTTACTTCCTCTATTGTTATGTTGCTTGCCTTTCCCTTTTTCACCACTTCGCCTCTCGGATATGTTCATCGAAGAGTTCCCTCTGTTTAGGTTCCGACTACCACTGGAATCGGTGCCCTCAGCGTTGATTGGCAACCTGTCATTGGCATCTTCTCGATCACTATCTGTACTCAGGTCGAAGCCGCATTGTGACAGCTTCGTTGGGGACAACGCTTACTTAGTGGCATCTCCGGTGTCCCCAAACAGCTTTCCATAAGTGTCATAAATCACGCTGCAATCAATGTGCTTGTACTTCGCATACTTTGGGTTCTCCTGTTTTCAAATGAAAATGAAAACATAGCAATAGATGAAACACGGTGCTAGAATGGAAAACATATATGAATAAAACGAAAGCAGAAACTAGAAGGAGACACTCAGATGCATGCAGCTGAAGACAATTAACAAATGCCTTAACAGGAGAAATTGCACCAAGTGTTGATCTATATCATTGTGGACAAAGTATAGTAATGTCACATACTAAGCATCACGGACCACAACTTGCATTATTCAGTAATTTGGTTTGTAAATCATTCGTGCTCACACGCATCTTCCATAAGACAGACACAACATGGTAGTACATGGCTATTATAATGGGCATTATGCACCTTGATTTTGGCATCCCACCAATGCTCCGGAGCGACTATTAATCCAGTGTCGGAGCGGTACTCAATTCCTGTGCTTCGCAGCATCTCGAACAGGTGTTTGTGCTACTCCTGCAATTTACTCCAATAGTTCTTCATCTGGGATACAGTCCAGTTCTTTCCAACTTTCCTGTTGAACATTTCTGCAATACACTGCCATCCTTTTGTGGAAAAGCATTTGCCTCATCGGCGGCCTTTCGCGATCACAGTTTCGCATGTTGAAATGAAGACCCTGCGCTCGGGGAGTTCCATTTGGCTGACTTTCGCACCGTGGGTTGCGATTCTTGGTGGTCTAAAGCAGCATAGCGCATCGGGGGGCGCTGCCACTTATGCCTAGCTATAGGGGAATATTTGTAATTTAAAAAGCAGCGAAGGAGTAACAAAAGTAAATTCACAGGCTGTATTAAACAGACAGGGAGAAAGAAGCCTATTGTCAACTAAATCAGAGCAGTATGATCATTGGTCCGACTGCCTTTTCCTATGTTACATAGATGCAGAATTTGGGGCAGGCAGCAAACAATGGAAACTGAATAATGTGAATAACTAAAAATTGTAGACGACATACACACTTGCTAAGTAACATAAACTCACTCATCAATGTCGTGTAAACACCAAGGCTACGGATTTGTAATAATTAACAATCACTAGGATTACAAAGTTTCCAAATTAACTGCAGTTTCGGGGAAAACGAAAGAAGCCAATTACAATTTCATTCACATGCGACGTTGCCCGCAGGAAACACTACAATCTGAATAATAGTAGGGAACTCATGAAATGGACACAAAATGTGAGGAGAAAGGTATAAAAAAATTGGTGAATATTTCTGCTTAATAAATTTACTTCTACAATCAACGCCCAGTAATGTTGTCACTAAGCAGTAGATGAAATTTTTCAAGGAGGAGTGGACAATGGTTTCCAGGTCATCGGCGAAGCTGTTCCAGTGCTGGCCGAAGTTGTCCATTGGCGACGATTTCGGTCTTCAGAAGGAAGACGAATTACCCAGTGGTTGTTGAAGAGCCTAGTTGCCACCAGTAGGTGCCCAGAGTTGACGTTGCAATGGGACGCCGATGGATGTTGAGCGGAACAAAATAGATGCAGAGATCCCGGTGCAACGAACACAAACGGCACGGTCTCGTACTGGGCTACCGCACCTTCAGCCGATGAATAATGAACGACGATGCTTAGGTAGATGGAACGATATGGCTTGAATCTCTCACTGGCAGGCAGATCCGGACGCAGGAGTAGCAAAGGAATTCGTTTGGGTTGATTGGGAAATCAGACGGTAGGGCTGGGAATTGTAAGGGATATGTGAGGACAACACTTGATAATCGAGGGCAAAAGTGGAAGAACACTTATCAACGGCATTGTCTTGAATTTACATTTGGACAGAGCAAATTGGTGACAGGGTTGTGCTGTCTTCTCATCACTATAGAAAAACGAGTTTTGATCCAAAAAAACTCATTAAAATGAGCATCAAACAAGAGCTATATCAAATAAAGCCCGTAAGGTGTAAAATGGCCAAAATTGATCACTTAACATAATTGGTCTAATCATAATGTCATTGTGAGCCATACATCTAACTAGTAAAATTTTACAATCGAATGTGAAGCTCATATTTAGAATTATTCTAAAATTTTAATGTTAAATCATGGAAAGAATATATCAGAAGATAAGAGAAAAACATGAAGAGAAACAGCAACTAGAGCAATGTGCAGCAGCAACCTCACCACCTTCACCTTCATCATCTCCTGAATTTTCCTTCTCCGTGGCTCTCCATCCGTCGGCCACACAAATCCCAGCCGATAAAAATAAATCTTCCCTTCCTTCATTTGCTTTAGATTTATCTCTGGCAGATGATATATTTTTTCATGGCCATTTACTTCTTCTCCATCTCCGTTCCCACTTTCCGGTCTTGCCACGCTCTTCCACCAATTCCTTGGATAGTTTGATGCTACCCATAAAAAAACTAAGTAATGAAGGTAACAATACTGATCATCACAACTTTGATCGAAGCAATGTATTCGAAGCCAAAGGGAGGGAAAAGTCAAAATCTTTCTCTTTATTCGGATTATCAAAGTGGCGAAAAGGGTGTGAAAATAAAGAACAAGAAGAGAAGATGACGACAAAATTGATGTTCGAGTTAAGTCATGTGGTGAAAATGTACATGAGAATGGTTAAGCCATTATTTTCATTCGGAAACAGAAGAGGAAATGCTGACTTTGGGAGACAACCTTATTCACTTTCAGGGAATTTAATGTTTAAAAACAAGAAAGAATTGAGAGGAAAGAGAGGTGAATTTTCGGCTCTAGGTTCAATAAGGACATCTCCAAGATATAGCCTGTAAGAAGCCTGGTAGAGCACCTTCACTGACATTTAAGGGGGGAGGGGGTCTTTTTTTTGTATTTTTTTAACAATGGGTCCCACATCGGAACCCATTCTTGTGAGAGAGCTCCACTACCAGGCCTAGTAGAGGAGCATTATCCCTTTTAGTGGCTACTGGCACTCTTACTCTGACTAGTAATAGTGACAGCACCATGGAAGAGTTGCAGACAGCAATTCAAGCTGCAATTGCTCATTGCAAAAAGTCCGTACTGATGGAAGATAAATTGAATTCCCATAGACAGATTTGATTATCAAAATCTTTATTTCATGATTTTTTTTTTTTTTATGTTTATATTTGGCCTGGAGATAACCAGTTTTCTGTATATATTTATATAGATGGAAGATAAATTTTCTAAGTAATATATAATTATATATATATAATTCAATTCTCTCTTTTTTTTGGGTTTTTACTTTTTTTTTTTTTAAATTTACCGTTGATGCTAAAAGAATTATACTTCGAAGCGGTTGAATCTTCAGATTTGTGATGTGCTCGTCCATCTATAGACCCGTTTGATAGTAATTTTTTACCACAAAAAATTAATTTTTTTTATCGTTATTTCACTATTTCAGTCGTCATTTTTAACTTCTTTACTCACAGGTGGGATCCAATTTTTTCTCTAACGATCAAAAAATCAATTATTATAATCACTACCGAACATGCTCTATACTTGTAAAGGGACGCAGAGAACTAGAGTTGGGCATGGTTTGGTTTGGTTCAAAAATTTCAGGTATTTAGTAAGTGGAATCGTCGGGTCCAAATATAATTATGGAACTGTTTGGGTTCAGTTACGTTCGGTATTATTCGATTCCATACCATAATTACATTTTTTAACATTTACAACAACACTACATAAATACAACTAATAACATATTCAATCATAGCTTTTACAAATTAACGAAGTCCAATTCAAAAACATATAAATAACAAGTTGTCAAATAATATTAATTTACCAACATATACAAATACCAAAAAAGTAGATACTAATACTAAAATATTGATGATCCATATCAATAATTCATTTGTTTTAGCCTTCAAGTCTACATAAAAAAAAAAGTAAAAAAAAAAATCTTGAATTAGAAGTCATATAAATAAAATATTTTTAAGTATTACTAATACTTACCAGTTATTTCATTTAATCATCAATTGTTTGACTTGCCATACGAAGAAACTTTGCAGAAAAAATTGAAAAATCACAATTAACAAACATAAATAAATTAAAAATAGTTCAACTAATAAGATTTAATAAGAAAAATAAAACATACATTTTATTACTTGTCTCAATACTCTCATAGATCTCTATCTCTACAATGCAAACTCTATCTTGGGAAACTCTCAAAAGTCTAGATTCTTCCATTAGTCAGTTTTGCATGCAAATCAAGGCATCAAATGTTTTAGGAGTTAAAGAACTCCTAAATGGATCAAGAATGCTCCCTCCCGTACTAACTGCTGACTAAATCAATCAATCACCTAATTAGCTAATTTATTTAGAAAAAATTAAAATATTTTGATTTATTCAATAAAAAAAAAATTAAGAAGATTCGGTTCTTGGTCTAAAATCGAGAATCGAACCGTACCCGTCGGTTGTCAATTCAGATACTCGTTCAAGTATTTAACTTGAGAAGATCTGTCGAGTTCGGTTCGAGAGCTTTGCCCAGCCTTACAAAGAACTCTTTGGGGAAGGTCAATGATTTAGTTGATGTTCAGAAATTTGAACTCAGTCGATGGGATTCTCACAGTGAATTTGAAATTATTTGTAAGAAAATTATATTGACTTAATTTTCAACTTAAAAAATAATGTAATTTTCCATAAAGTTGAGTTTTTGGGAAGTTAGAATTGTTTAGAAAATGAAAACCAGCCCCTGTAAAAATAAAATGTTTTTCCTTATTTTTTAGGAAAATATATTCACATGACCGATATTTGAAAAATATTTTTCATAAAAAAACAAAATAGTTAAACACTTTAAAAGTAGGAACTTGAATATAAAAAAAAAATACATATTTCATAAAAAATAGTCAATCAAACACGCTCTTACTTTTCACTTGGAAATTTGCAAGAGGAAAGGTTGGAGGTATTCTATTGACTCTAGTTTGTTGAAGAAGTTTTAAAGGTCAAGGATACTGAGAAAAATCAATTTTTTGTTCACACGTACTCTGTAATTTCTTCTTCTTCACGTGCATATCTTTGTTAGAAAAAGGTTGTAACAGTCATTGAGATAATTCTTTCACGTCAAGTCAAACAATAAAATCTCTGCAATGTGGACACGTGACTAACCAACAAGGGAAAAAAAAAATTAAATGTAAAGCATAAACATGACAAAATGGTTGTGGTTCTTGTGATTTTATCTAGTTACGTTATATTTGGTACACAAGTATTATAAATAATCAAATGAAATCATATATGCTGTAGAGATACAAATAAGGAACTTCATTGTGTTGACTCTATTAGATAGATAAAATCCGTATATTTTTCTATAAGCTTATGTATGTAGGTTGAATATTGTTCTCGATGATTTGTGCTTGGTGAATAAACTATTTGTAGTTGATCAGAGAGATGCTATAAAAATGCAATCATCAGTACTCTCAATATTGGTGATATTATTTATTGTTGGTATAAAAAAATTAACAAAAAACCACGATGTGCCCTAGAAAAATAAAATTATTTTGAGGCATAATTGCTCGTGACCGTGGAATCATCAGAAATTTGAATTTGTTTCCTCTGATTTTATCAAAATCCACTTCAGTAAGCAAGTTGGTATACTTTATGGGATGTTTTTGATCACTTGATCATGATTAAGATCCAAAAGTGGCAAAAGATATGATGATAAGTTGTAATTATTTATGCAAATGATGCTTTGGAGCTCAAACTTTAATTTGATTATCTACCAAATATATGAAGCTATCAATAACAAGATGCATGCTTTGTAGCCAATGGGACTGCCCTATAGAAATTAAGAGAATAATTAATGGGCTCCAGAAACAAAGGATATTACTAGTATAAAGAAATAACTCGGAAATACCCTTAACTAGTTTACTAATTCTATATATATATTTTTTAATTTCTTTATTCTCAAAATACAGTTTTAATTATTCAAATTCTTGCAATAAATTTACATTTTGAAAAAAATTACATTACAAACATTTTAACCTCTCGCTCCCACCATCGTCGAAGCCATATGACCACTTGTAATACGATGTGTTACACACATTTTGTCGTCGAAAGCACTACCACTTATAAATTCATTAAAACGGTCCAGGACTTGAAACATTTATTGTTACACCAGTGCTGCAATCATCAAAGGTATTGTTTGCCATAAACATAAACCGTCAATCACCACTGCCACCATTCACCAACACCGCTAGGTATCGCCACCATCAACTCCATCCCAGCACAAACCAAGAAAAAAAGGCTAGATCTTGAACCAAAACCACTCTTCTTCTTTCAGGTGAGACCATGATACAGCCAAGTCATGCGACCAAGAATCAATAATGAGGTCACACGAGGCGAGTTCTCACTGTCACTCAATGGTGGAGAAGGTGCCATCTGAAGCAGAGTTGGAAGAATTAAGGTAGTGCTGAAGACAAAGAATTAAGGTAGTGCTGAAGACAATCTGTTGAATTCAATAGAAATGCCATTTCACAACACAAAAATATTAACAAAATTGGATAAAGTTTGTATAAATGTTATTTCCCTAGTCTAATCGATTTTAGACGTAAACATTTTTAATATGATTAATGTATTTTATTTATGGCAGATTTATTATTTAATGAATAATTATTCTGACAAATTAGATTAATAGAGTTCATAGATTCAAGTCATGGTGAAACTAATTACGTGTGATTGAATTCTAAATTATCCGTGGTCCTAAGTAATAAAGAAATTTGGATATTATTATTACTGATAAACCAACACATGTGGCATTTCTCATTTATGAAGTGAGTAGCTAATTTCACAAGCTAAAGTTTAATAACATTTAAGTGGGTGCGCGAATTTTTTGTTAAGAAAACAAAACATTGAAAATCCTTTGGAGAGTTCCACATGGATAAATATCTGAGCGTCAGCGATTAATCTCTAATGTTCGGTATTAGAATCGGTCCTTCAGCTTGAGGTTATCATAGTACCTTATATGAGGACAATTATACTTTCGTGATGTTAGATGTTACTCTACCGAGGGTTGCTAATACGACATTTTTCAGGTACATCAAGAAATTATGTGAAAATTATGAATGATAGATAAAAGATTTGTCACTCTTAGATAGTAAGAAATTATTCTCTATGTGTCATTTAATTAAGTTGATAACGAAATTTTTGGCCAACGTGTGTTTATAAGTCGAAAAGAAATTTCAACTAATATTGACTTAAGAGTGTGATGAAAATATAATCAATAGTCGAGATTGAAGCACATCCATATCTCGTAATTTATCGGATCATGTTGACGAAATAATTATAGTTTCATGATAACGAATAAGTTTGATTTTGTCCCATTTGAAATTTATCTTTGACGAAATAATTATAGTTTCATGGTAAACAAATAAGTCTGGTTTTGTCCCATTTGAAATTTATATTTGACAAAATAATTATAGTTTCATGTTGCCAATTTATTTCCGTCGCATTCATTGCTAAATCATGTATTGTGTGTGAAAAATCAGATGGTGTTCTATAAATTTCCATCCCATCCGATAGAATTTTGAATACCATTTAGATTGCTAGGGCAACACAATTAGAATTGGAAGGAAAAGAATTTGTAGCTGATCTAAATCTCCTAGATATGAAAGACTTTGAAGTTATTCTAGGAATTGACTGGTTGGGGAGCAATCACGTAACCATTCAATGTTTTAAAAAGGAATTAATTTTTTAGAAGCCTAGAGAGGAAAAGTTTCGATTTTTCGTTGTACGAGTTAAGTTTTTACCATGACTCGTATCGGCCATTAAGGTAGAAAAAATGTTAAAGAAAAGATCTTGCCATGGATTTCTAGTACGTATACATGGAACTCAGCAATTAGAGCTTACTATTGATAATGTGTTGATTGTACGCTGATAACTTGCCTAACACACCACCTGATAGGCAATTAGAGTTTACAATTGGCCTTGTACATGGGGCAACTCCAGTATGTAAAGCTCCATATAGGATGGCGCCAAAAGAACCACAAGAATTAAAGATACAGTAGCAGGAATTGTTGGATAAAGGTTTCATTCAACCAAGTACATTTCCTTTGGGTGCACCGATTTTGTTTGTGAAAAAAATGGATCAATGATGTTGTGAATTGATTATAAGGAACTGAAACAGTTGACTGTCAAAAACAAATATCTCCTTCCTCGGATTGAAGATCTCTTTAATTAGTTAAAGAGTGCAATAGTATTTTCCAAAATTAATTTGAGGTCAGGCTATCATCAATTGAAGGTGAAGGCAGATGACATTCTAAAGACAGCATTTAGAACCAGCTATGGTCATTATGAGTTCAAGATAATGCCCTTTAAATTAACAAATGCTTTTGCAATATTTATAGAATTGATGAATAGAGTATTTCATCAGTATTTAGATCAATCTGTCATTGTCTTCATTAATGACGTTTTGGTGTATTCAAGGATTAAGGATCAATGTGAAGAACAACTCAAGATAGTGTCGAAGACACTACGACGCCAAATTCAAGAAATGAGAATTTTGGCTTGATCGTATAGTTTTTCTTGGTCATGTGGTTACGTCACAAGGAATTGAAGTAGATCCTAATAAAGTTGAAACGGTAACCAACTGGTCCAGACCAACGAATGTAAGCGAAGTTAGTAGTTTCTTGGGACTAGCCGATCATTATCGCAGATTCATTGAGAGATTCTTCAAAATAGCTGGTCCAATGACCCAACTAACTAGGAAAGGCGTAAAATTTCAATGGACTGAGAAGTGTGATGAAAGTTTTCAAGAACAGAAACAGAAATTGGTTACCAAAGGGTTCAGATGGATTCGATATATACAGTGATACATCAAAATAGGGTTTAGGATGTGTACTGATGCAGTTTGGGAAGGTGATTGCATACACCTCAAGACAATTAAAACAATATAAGCAAAACTACCCTACACATGATCTAAAGTTGGCAGGGGTAGTACACGTTCTAAAGATATGGTGTCACTACCTTTACGGAGGGAAGTGTGATGTTTATATGGATCATAAGAGTTTGAAATACTTCTTGACTCAAAAGGATTTGAATATGAGGTAGAGAAGGTGGTTGAAGTTAGTTAAAGATTATGACTACACTATCTATTACCATCTGGGTAAAGATAATGTAGTCTCAGATGCTCTTAGCAGGAAGACAGTGGGACGACTAGCGGTCTTACCCACAACTCAAATACAGTTGATAAAGGAGTTTGATAAATTGAAAGTGGAAGTTGTCATTCCACCAACTCAAGTTACTGAAAAGATTGCAACATTAAAGATTCGACTTACTCTTAGGGATCGAATCAAG